ACTTTTTAGGATTAATTAATCAATTAACAATTCAAAAATTCTACATCCCAATCAAACTCAATGTAGGTAACTTTGACCTTGAAATTGAAGCTCTGTTTGACACAGGTGCAGATTCAAACTGCATTCAAGAAGGTCTAATTCCTACTAAATATTTTGAAAAGACTTCTGAACGACTTAGTACTGCTAGTAGTTCAAAACTTCAAGTTAATTATAAACTTCCTAAAGCAATCTTTGAAAATGATAATTTAAAAGTTGAAACACTGTTTCTCCTTGTTAAAAATCTCAAAAATGGAGTTATTCTTGGAACTCCGTTCATCAAATCTCTTTTTCCTCTAACTATCATAGATGAAGGTATAATTACTTATCATTTGGACAAACCAATTCTTTTTAAAATTCTTAAGAAACCCATCATCAGAGATTTGAATTTTATTCATTACAAACAAAAGCAAATCAATTTTCTTAAAGAAGAAATTTCTTTTAAGAATATTGAAAATCAATTAAAACAGCCTGAAGTTCAACAAAAGATCAAAGTCTTGCTTGAACAAATCCAGAATACAATCTGTTGTGATCTTCCGAATGTTTTTTGGCAAAGGAAAAAACATATCGTAGATCTTCCCTATGAAAAGAATTTTAATGAAAGGAAAATCCCAACCAAAGCTCGTCCAATTCAAATGAGTGGTGAACTTCTTGCCTTTTGTCAAAAAGAAATTGCTGATCTCCTTGCTAAAGGTCTCATCAGGAAGAGCAAGAGTCTGTGGTCTTGTTCTGCTTTCTATGTCAATAAGCAATCTGAAATTGAGCATGGAACTCCACGGTTAGTTACCAATTACAAACCTCTTAATCAAGCTCTTCAATGGATTCGGTATCCGATTCCAAATAAGAAAGATCTTCTCAATCGTTTGTATTCAGCAAAAATCTTTTCTAAATTTGACATGAAATCTGGGTTTTGGCAAATCCAGCTAAATGACAATGAATGTTACAAGACAGCTTTTACGGTTCCGTTTGGTCAATACGAATGGAAGGTAATGCCTTTTGGACTGAAGAATGCTCCCTCTGAATTTCAGAGAATCATGAATGATATCTTCAATCCGTACTCAACTTTCACTATCGTCTACATTGATGATGTTCTTGTCTTTTCTCAATCTATTGATCAATATTTTAAACATCTTCATATTTTTGTAGATGTAATTAAGAAAAGTGGTTTAGCCCTTTCTAAATCAAAGATCAATCTTTTTCAAACAAAATCAGGTTCCTCGGTCATACTATTTATCAAGGGACTATTACTCCAATTTGTAGAGCTATTGAATTTGCTGACAAATTTCCCAATCAAATTATTGATAAAACTCAATTACAAAGATTTCTTGGTTGTTTAAATTATGTAGCTGACTTCTTTCCTCAGCTTAATAATCTAATCAAGCCTCTCCATAATCGTCTTAAGAAAGGCCCTCCTCCCTGGATTGATGTTCATACTGACGTAGTCAAACAGGTCAAAGCTAAGGTAAAGGAACTTACTTGTCTTTACCTTCCCAATCCTCAGGCTTTCAAAATTGTTGAAACTGATGCCTCAGACATAGGTTATGGTGGCATTCTCAAACAGAGAGTCTCTGATAAAGAACATATCATTGCATACACTTCAAAGCATTGGAATTCAGCACAACAAAAATATTCCACTGTCAAAAAAGAAGTTTTAGCAATTGTTTTATGCATTTCAAAATTTCAATCTGATTTATTAAATCAAAAGTTTTTAATCCGTGTTGATTGCAAATCTGCAAAAGACATTTTACAAAAGGATGTAAAAAATTTAGCATCTAAACAAATTTTTGCTAGATGGCAAGCAATCTTAAGTGTTTTTGATTTTGAAATTGAATATCTCAAAGGCACCTCAAACTCTCTCCCTGATTATCTCACTCGTGAATTTCTGCAGGGAAGGTAAACAGTGTCCTGAAATGCCGAAATCGGTAAAATCAACCTCTTCTAAAGAGAGGAAAGGAAAGCTAATCCTTGTTGGGTTAGCTAAAAAATCAGAAAAGTCTGGGTCTCCAGCCCAGGAACAATTTGGGTCATCAACCCAACCCCAAACTGGGTCATCCACCCAAAGAGTTGAGGATACTTCCTCTTCTAAACAAACAAAGCAGATTATGCTATGCCAATCCAAACCCTTCAAGCCTTCCAAGACCAAGGTTTGACTCATCTATCAAAGAAAACCTGGGCTGAAATAGCCTCTGAAGATGAACAGGAAGAAAGTCTTTTTGTTTTGATTGATAACTTAAAAAATAAGCAGATTTCTAACCGTCCAAACAGGGCTCTAGAAATTCAACCCAAACCAGTCTTTACCCAAAAATCAAAAGCTCAAACACCATATATCCCGAAAAACAAGTTCCTAGAAGTTATTCAGATGGAACCAGCCTATTGGGATAATAAGCCAACCAAAGTACCTGCGAAGATCTTTCCCAAAGACTTCAAAGGCAATCAATTTCATTTCAAACCCCTTTCTTCAAATAAATCCCAAAATTTCTATGAGTTTGTTTTACTTGATTCAAACTCTATTTAAATCAAACATTATAGAAGTCCAAAAGACCCTGAGTTTATAACTCACTCAACTATCCAGATTCTGAAAGTAATTACTCCATCAGAATATGGAAACCCAAAAAAAGTTACTAAATTTTCCCAACCTTATGATCCAATCGGTTATAACTACTGGGATTATGAATTAGCCTGGACTAATGTATTCTTTATGCAAAATAAAGAAAATAAACACTCTTGGTTAATTTATTTTAAACAAAATGTTCAATATAAATTCCCTCAATATATATATATATAAATATATATGGGATATGATCAACTTACACCGGTGTTATAATAATAAGTTTTACATCAAATTTTAACCGTTGATTTTCCATGCATCTAGTGGTTCAGATCAACTTACACCAATGTTAGAATAATAAGTTTTACACCAAATCTTAACCATTGATTTCTGTGCATCTAGTGGTTCAGATTTATTGGGTTCAACTCATTAATTAATTATTAATTTTTAAATATATATATATATATATATATATATATATATATATATATATATATATATCCCTATATTTTAATCCAAAATTTTATAGCATTACTTTTAAGAAAAAAATATATTTGCTTTTGCTACAGAAATTTTTTTCTACCACACTCACGTAAAAATGAATGAGTCCCACTAATTTTTTTTCTATTTATAGTGGGACCTACTCACTTTTATGTGAGTGTGATAGAGAAATATTTTTTTGCAACTAAAGCAAAAACATTAAACCCTTACTTTTACGAGTCATTTCATATAATATATTTATTAATTAGCTCATTCTTAACAATGTGAGATTTAATTACTTATCAGTTACACTTACATTTTAAACCTTAATGATTTATGAAATGTATTTATCAAATATAACTATGGCTAAAACTTACCATTCCAGTCCATTTTTATTAAAAGAAAATGTTGATTAATTTTTTTCCCAAAAGCTTATAGTTTTTGGCTTTTCCATATTAGGTATAAACATTTAAATTCCTTCATTACTCATTAAATATGTGTTTGGATTAAATTTTATCAATTTAGCTTTGGATCATTTGTTTTTATAGAAACATATTCATTAAGAAATAATTTGTTCTAAAGAAGTCAAAAACAAAGTAGAAGAGGAACACTTTATTGCTTTAACTTAAAGAAGGTTTTAGGGGAATCACATTAAAAAAAATGTGAAAAATAAAAATCCAAATATGAAGAGTTGGTTTCTCCCATTAAAGGGAATCATGACAAAGACAATCAAGCAAAAGAAGCTTTAACATTAACCTGATTTGTTTGATCTTACTGACTGTAAGCGTTAAAGTGAATCGACCCATCTCACATATCATGTTTTTTACTTTTCAAAACTTGAGCCTTATAGGATGATACAGAATGACTAACCATTGTTTTAAATCAAATTCAGAGTCATAGATTCTTTCACAAAGCAAAGTCCGTATAAAAACCGTTTCGATTATCTTTAGGGGGTGTTTGACATGAGGAAAAAAAAAAATTTGGCCAAGAGAATGGGGTGGAAAAAATTATTTGGAAATGTTTGGTAGGAGAAAGAGTAAAAAAATAGTTGGGAATATTTTTTTGCCGTCATTCAATTTTGGTCATGATTTCGTTATCTAAGTTTGTCATTGAGACTATGATAAAAAAACTTTTTCCACCTTATAGAAACCCTCTAATTTCCAACCTATATACGTTGTTAGTCCTATAATAAGGGATTATACATTTCAAGTTAATCCTATTAAAATCTTTAAAAGGGTATTTAATAGAGGAATTATTTTCAAATTCTCAGGAAAATGAGGAGGATAATTCAATTTATTCATGTTTGGTAGAAAAATTTTGAATTTTTTTCTGGAAAAATAATTTTCCTGAATGTTATTTTGTGTGTAAAATGTAAAGCAAAATACCATCCACAGGATGATATTCTTACTTTATCGGAAAAATAAAAAATAAAATGTGAAAATTCTAACAAAAATTTCAATAATATTTTGGCATATCAAACAACTCATTCGTAAAATTCTCAAAAAACTTATTTTTTCATCATTTTTTTAAAAATCGTGATTTTCAGGTAAAAAGAAAAATTCCTTCTGTACCAACTACCTCCAAAATATTTAACAATTTCATTCTTCTATGAGCTAAAATAATGCAAATATCAAATTGAATATTTTGTCAAAAAAATTATATCTAGAAACTAGAATGCAGTGCCTCGAATCGTCGCTCCTAGCATTAGGATAATGTCTAAACATAGTACAAAGGGTTCCAAATTTGTAATTATGCATAGTACCTAGGTATCGTTGTTTTGAAGTGTTTTAAGTGACTAACAACAGCCGTTGATCAATTTAGAACCAAGATCCAACGGTGTAAACGTAGCCAAGGTTGCTTTAAATTTGAGTCCTCTGTTCCCACTCTATAAAAAGAGCATTGTAACCAAAAACTCTTTCAGCTTAGAACCCAAAATGGAAAAGGAGAAACCCGAAACACAACAATGGAGATCCGACCCGTTTCATGTCAGCATGATGAGGCCACCGGAGACACCGCGTGACCCGATGGAGTTTCTGTCTCGTTCATGGAGTGCCTCTGCACGTGAAGTCTCCAAGGCTCTCACCACCATGAACAACAACAATAACAACAACAAAGCTCCTTGTAATGTTATAATACTTGAGAACATAGCTGGTGAAGTAGAAGAATCTGTTAATGTTTCTGGCAACCCTTTTTCTTTTGCTTCCTCTGAGACTTCTCAAAAGGTCATGGACCGTATCATGTCACACTCGGTATGTTATATGTTACCTGTTTCTTCCACTTTCTTTTTTAACTTCAAATTCATTTCTTGCAAACTAATATAGTGTCTACCAAGAATCATTATTCCAAGCTCGAATCAAACTAGTTGGATAATCGATAAATCCATGAATATATCTTATATAGAGGCTTGTGACTCAATCTTTCTCAGTTTACTTTAGATTCCAGTTTTGTAACACTATATTATTTGACCCATCTTGCATGAAACAAAAAAAAGCAAGATCAATTCCAATTTTCATTTTTCTTAACAAGTTTGGTCACAACAACAATCAAAGGACTGAAGCAATTACTGTTTTGACATGATCAGCAGGAGGTATCTCCACGCACCTCAGGAAGACTTTCTCATAGTAGTGGCCCTCTTAATGGTTCTTTAACAGATAGCCCTCCGCTTTCCCCTTCTGAAATTGACGATTTCAAGGTATGTCTCTTTTTCTTTTTCTTTTCTCTCTCTTTCATTCATAGGTTGCTGGAATCTGACATCAACCTAAACAGACAACCATGTTGGTTTTTTGTTTTTGTTTTTTGAATAAGACTTTTTGCGGGTACAAAGCACGAACACTGATCTCACTGCACATTCAGAACCAACCATGTAGTTTCAGCTTTCTCTTTTACCAACAAACACACTATGATGACACCCGGAGGAGAGTAAACTGGTTTTTCTCTTTGCAATCTTCAATGCAAACAGAAAAAGACTAGTTTTTGCTACTACCCATTAAAAGATTCACTAAATTAAAGCTCAATAATCACCCACTTCCAAATGATTAACAGTGTAAAACTAAGCTTAAAAAGTGCAAATTTTTGTTTTAGACCCTTTTATCTGTGAATTAGTATTATCCTTTCTGTTCAAAAACTCTGCTATTCTTGCTTGTTCTGGTCCCCCACTCCACCCACTGTCAAATTGGTTAAGAACACCAACCAAATCTGTCCCTATGAGATTCTGATTAAGCATTCAAGGCTTTTGAAAATTCTGATGGACCCCCTTTGAGGACAAGGTAGGTGAACATAGTTATAGACCATATAGATAAGCACAATTTTTTTTGGCACTTCCACACCAATTTTGTCACTTTGTTCAGAATATCAGATTATAACATTGCAACAACAGTTACTTTATAAGAAACACCCCTCCAAGTAAACGGTTGGAACTAAACAACATCAACAACAAGAAACACATGTTATTGGTTATCTATGGTGTGTTGTTCCATCTTAGGTAAAAAAATTTAATGGCACAAAACATGCATTTTTCTCAGCAGTATAACCGCTCCAACAACAATCACAACAACAACAACAACTTGAACAGTCAATACCGCGCAGCCGCAACCGGCGGCCCTGCTGGCGTCGGCAGTGGCAAGACGGTAGGGAGGTGGCTTAAGGAGAGGAAGGAGAAGAAGAAGGAGGAAACCAGGGCCCAAAATGCTCAGCTACATGCAGCAGTTTCGGTGGCCGGAGTTGCCGCCGCAGTTGCTGCCATAGCTGCCGCCACGGCGGCATCATCAGGCTCTGGCAAAGACGAGCAGATGGCGAAGACTGACATGGCGGTGGCGTCAGCAGCGACGTTGGTTGCAGCTCAGTGTGTTGAGGCTGCGGAGGCTATGGGGGCTGAGCGTGATCACCTGGCCTCAGTGGTTAGCTCCGCCGTGAACGTGAGGTCTTCCGGCGACATAACAACCTTAACGGCAGCGGCGGCAACAGGTATACCGATGATGCATGAAAACTGGAACAACATTTCTTGTTTGTGTCTGTTATGTCCCTACATGGAAACTTTATTGTGCTATTTTTTTTTATTTTTTGATGATTTTTTGTTGACCAAGTTGGTGTTTGTGTTTGTGGTTTGAATATGCAGCTTTACGTGGGGCTGCCACATTGAAAGCAAGGGCCCTCAAGGAGGTTTGGAATATTGCAGCTGTTATTCCTGTGGAGAAGAATTTGAGAGTTGCTGGTGGTGGGGGTAATGGTAATGGTAATGGTAATGGTAGCAATTGTAGTTCTAATAGTAGCTTCAGTGGTGAACTTGTTGAAGAAGAAAATTTCTTGGGTATCTGTAGTAGAGAATTGCTAGCCAGAGGTTGTGAACTCCTCAAGCGCACACGCACAGGTATATTTCCTTAAATTTTATATTTATGTTTTGTTTTTACATGATATTGTGCATCTGAATATATGTTTGATGAAGTTGGTTTCTTTTTGTTTTGTTCTCTGCTTAGTTTGTGTATATATAAGGAGTATAAAAAATTCCTTCTTGTTTTAGTCTTGTGTTTCTTCTAATTTGTATGTGTTTGTTGTTCTAATTGCTTTTGTAGGTGAACTACATTGGAAAATTGTATCTGTTTATATAAACAGGATGAATCAGGTGAGTTTTTATCCCCCTTTATTCCTAATTATGTGATGTGATTTGGTTCTAGAGAATATCCAATTATTTGGTCATCAATTGAAGAGTTTTAATGATGAGTATGAACATGGTAGTGGAAAAAGTTGTAAAGTGAAGGCGCTTAGTGTATGATGTGATGCTAATGGATCAATCTTACTTTAGTTTCCTAGAAATCTGCAATTGTAACTCTTTGGAAGCTCTTTTTGTGCAGGTTATGGTGAAGATGAAGAGTAGGCACGTTGCTGGGACCATCACAAAAAAGAAAAAGAGTGAGTTTTGATTACTTTTGTCCCATTCTCACTAATAATTTAACAGATTTGGAGGTGGGTCTTTGTTTCATTTGGGGATTTGTGAAAGTCATGGTCTTTAAAGTTGGAAAAAGATCAAAAGGGTTTTTCTTTAATTCCCATCTCTCTCTTTTTTTTTAAAAAAAATTATTTTTCTCAGATGTGGTTCTTGGAGTGATCAAAGATATGCCTGCATGGCCTGGTCGCCACTTGCTAGAAGGTGGCGAGAACCGTCGCTACTTTGGTTTGAAAACAGTAATGCGTGGTGTTGTTGAATTTGAGTGTAGGAATCAAAGAGAATATGATGTGTGGACTCAGGGTGTGACAAGGCTCCTCTCTATAGCTGCTGAAAGGAACAACAGAAACAGAATATGTACTTCTTTTTAATTGGGATGGAGGAAAAAAATTTTGGGAGTTGGGAATAGGATCCATGGTACTAGTAAGATGAAGATGATAGATCTTTTGATAGATGGTGGGGGGTTTTGATCCATTTGTAAAAAGGGTAAATTAAAGTTCTAGTTATTGCAAATGGGGGTCTCTTTAATCTTGGGGAACATACATGTGTATTTTGATGTATTTTTTTTTGGAATGGGAAAGTAAAGTCATTTGAACCAAAGTAAGTGAAAATCATGTCAATCTTAGTGTTCTTTCACTGATGTGGAAAGAAAAGGAGTATCTTGGACCAGGGCAGTCAAAAGAAAAAGGGAAAGTGTCACATTTGAGTGAAGTGTAATATTGAACATCAAGACATAATCTAATTTTATATGTGCTTTGTTTATACATGTTGGTTTGGGCTTTTCCTTGATTGGATCCCGAGAAATTGTTTAAAGGTTTATGACCCAGAGCCATCATTGTTTTGGATTCCACTTCTTCCACTTTGTGGTGAATTTTGTTTCTTTAACATAAAGTGATGGACAAGTAGATAGTAGTCCTCGGCTTGAATAAATTTTCAGTACTGAAATAAGTGTAAGAGAGATTGATATGGCATTTAACATTAACAATATCGAGTTTCGAATTTGAATTCTGGAAGTAGAAAAAATAGTTTTTGGAAAAATCACCTATAGTATGGCGAAAAATCTAAAATACAACTGGTGTAAGTATGATCAATTAATAGAAATGCGTTACATCAACTGCTTTTGGATTAAAGAGAGAAAAAAAAAGTAACATTTATAATTTACACTATGTACTACCGATACTACATAGTGTAAATTACAAAAATCGCACTCAATTTGATACGACCATAATAGTAAATGTGCATTCCTAGTATGGATCTAATGGGATATTCGATGAATAGATTGAAAAAAAAAAAAAAAAAAGTAGACAAGAGTAATTGCATCTGCGTGGGGTTATTTTTTTCCACTTTAAGAAGTGATAAACTAAAATAATTTTTTTTTTTTTTATAGCCAAAATAAAACATTTTCTATTGGTTAATTGATGAGAGCGACTTGAGCAAATAAAGTTTTTAACTTTATTTCAAGAATTCAAGGTGTGGTAAAAATAAAAAAGCCTTTCATGAAGTTCTTCTTTTGCTAAATGGCTTTTCATAAAGTTCTAAATAACTAGGTCACAAAATAAAATTTTCCATTTACTTTAATGCAATTCAAAATCATAAAACGAGAAGTTCTATGCAGGATTATCGAAGAATTTCTATTAAAAAACCGAACTAGAAAGAAGAGAAAGAACATTCTAGATATGTAATGTTATGGAAATAATGTTTGAATAGAGAAAAAAATAATTATTTAAAGCAATTAAATTCAATGTATATATGTTAAAAAATTTAATGTAGCGTGAAATTTATCAGAATTCAAATTATACTTACGAGAATTCAAATGTAGCGTGAAATAATGTTTTTGGGCTTTATTAATCTCATGCAATAGGAGAGAAGTTCTCTTATGTTATAGAGATAATTATGTGTGGGACCCGTCGACTTATAAAAAAAAAAGATAAAAAAATGTTGGAGATATGACCTTATCATGTAGATAGACATCTTATCATATAAGATATTCAGTTTGTTGTAATCCTAGTTGTTAGCTTGTAATCCTAGTTGTAGTTCTAAAGGCAACTGATTGGAATATCAAATCAACCAATTGGTACCACATTTTATCTTGGTATCAAAGCATTCCATATCCATACTTCCGCAACACCTACAGAGGACGAAAGCTTGTCCAAATCGCATATGGCTCTAGGCGGTAACAGCAGCGGTCTTAAGCCTTCCAATCCTGCATCTCCATTCTACTTAGGCGGATCGGACAACCCTGGTGTCATCTTGACGACCGTCATGCTGCGAGGGGAGCCAATTACGAAAATTAGGCAAAGCTCATGAAAAATGCTCTCAAGGCCAAAAAGAAAACCGGTTTCATTGATGGCTCTATTACGAAACCAGACAAGGTGATCCAAGATGAATGGAGTGCATGGGAGATGTGCAACTCCATGATCAATGGGTGGATTCACAACATCATTGATGCCAAATTACAACCTTTTATTAAGTGCTTTGATGACGTGAAAGATTTGTGGGAAGACTTGAAAGAGAGGTATGTTGTTCAGAATTTTCCAAAACAGTATCAACTTAGAGCTGCTCTCACAAACACACGACAACAAGGAAGTACTATTGGTGAATATTACACCAAGCTCCGCGCGATCTGGGATGAGCTCGAAGGCTGCAAGATTTCCAAATCATGTGCTTGTGGAGATAATTGTGCAGTGGCGAAAGAGATAGAAGAAGGCAGAGAACATGAACACGTGTATCAATTCCTTATGGGATTGGATGAGGCCTCCTTTGGGAACTTACGTTCTCAGATTCTTAATACTTCTCCTCCTCCAACTCTTAATAAAGTTTATGCAACTGTTACACAGGAGGAGACACATCGTACCATTGCTCGCGGCCATGATGATCGTAGCGCTGTCATTGGCTATGCAGCCCGCATCGAAGCCAGTGGCGGACGAGACCCTAACGCGCAACGTATGCTTGCGGACCAACTAGTGGTTCGTACTCCATGTCCTCACTGTGGGAAGACCAACCATGATCCATCTCGTTGCTGGAAAATTATTGTTTTTCCACCTATTCGTGGAGCAACTCGCGGACGGGGGAAGGGACGTACTGGCGGACGTGGTTCTCATAAACAAGCGTATGCCATGCAAACATCTGACGTTCCTCAACCAGCAAACGCGTCGTCTTCACCAACAATAGCTGCGTTCTCGGTTCTTACTTCTGAAGTGGTGCATAAACTCATGACATTGGTAGATAACTCTCAAACAAATCAGACCACTGACAAATTGTCTGGTAAGGCTACTCAATCTCAATGGCTTGTTGATAGTGGTGCTTCACAGCATATGACAGGCACACTGGATTTATTGACTGATGTTAGAAAGATTAAACCTCTAGCAGTGGGGTTACCTAATGGTGCAATTACTCATACAGAACAACAAGGGACAATGGTGTTTAATAACAATTTTATATTGTCAGACGTCTTGTTTGTCCCACATTTGCGCCACAATTTGATCTCAGTTTCTCAATTATTGCAGCAGAGTAACAACAAAGTGATTTTTACTAATGGAAAATGTATTTTGCAGGACCAAGCATTGATGAGGGAGACTGGATTGGGTGATGTTCATGCAGGAGTTTATGTGTTTCAACCAAAGTATGCTTCAGTTTCAACCGTAAGGGTTCAGGAGTCTGCAGAGTTGTGGCATAGGCGATTTAGTCATCCATCCTATGAAGTTGTGTCTTTGCTTCCTTTATTTTCCCATGTTTCAGCTAAAATTGCAGCAAATAATACGACATGTGCCATCTGTTGTCGTGCTAAGCACACTAGGACTATGTTTCATTCTAGCAGTAATCGAAGTAAACAATGTTTTGATTTAATTCACTATGATACATGGGGACCCTATCATTCTTCTTCTTCTTCGGGTGCACATTATTTTTTAACAATTGTTGATGATTTCAGTCGATTTGTTTGGGTGTATATGTTAGCTGAAAAGAAGGAGACTTGCGATCGTATTCAAAAATTTGTGGCTATGATCAGAACACAATTTGGAAAGATGATAAAAATTTTACGTTATGATAATGGGTCTGAATTTAAATCTAATAAATTGCTGCAACTATATCATGAAAATGGGATAATTCATCAAACATCTTGTGTTTATACACCGGAACAAAATGGAAGGGTAGAGCGAAAGCATAGACACATCTAAATGTATCTCGAGCATTACTGTTTCAGGCTGATTTATCCATTGATTTTTGGGAAGAAAGTGTGCTTGGAGGAGTCCATTTGATTAATAGAACACCATCCAAAATCTTCTCTGGCCGTACACTTCATGAGTTACTATATGGGGTAGTTCCAAAATATGAACACTTGAAGACTTTTGGATATTTGTGTTTTGCTAACGTGAGACCCAAACCTGCGGATAAATTTGCTTCTCGATCCCGCAAATGCTTGTTTGTAGGATATCCTGTTGACCAGAAGGGTTGGAGAGTATATGATTTAGAGAGTAAAGATTTTTTTTGTATGCAAAGATGTGAAATTTTATGAAGATATTTTTCCTTTGTCTTCATCATCATCGTATGCATCTAGTGAGCCTGCATTATATTTGCTACCTACTATTATCGATGTACCAGATCAGCGCAGTAAGCCAAATGAACCTCTACAAGATGCATCCATGTTGCTGTCATAGCTCACCATTAATGACGCAGACCATGCAGCCATAACCGAAGGCAATACAAAAGTCAGGGAGAGTGATGTTGCACCACAAAATTCACCGCTCCAAACCGAAGCAGTAACTTCTGCACCGTGTTCTTCATTGCTGCAAACCGCAGAAAATACTGCACTGTGTTCTTCAGTGCTGCAAACCGCAGAAAATACTGCACCATGTTCGTCCGTGCCGCAACATGAAGAAGGAAGACGACAGCGAGCACGCAATTTTCCATCTTATCTCCAAGATTATGAATGCAATGCTATTCAAACACATAACTCTTGTCATGCTGCCTAACTCAGTCATTCCTCACATGCAAGGTCAGGTATTAAATATCCATTATGTAATTTTCTTAGTTTATCTAAATTTTCTCCATCCCGTCGTGCATTTGTAGCGGCTATTGATGCAGGATGTGAGCCTCGCCATTTCAGAGAAGCCATGCAAAATTCGAAATGGGTAGATGCTATGAGAAAAGAAATCACTGCACTGGAGGATAATAGGACTTGGGCAGTCACGGTTTTGCCATCTGGTCGAAGAGCATTACCTAGCAAATGGGTTTTCAAGATTAAATATCATTCTGATGGAACCGTGGAAAGATATAAGGCACGGTTAGTTATTGCAGTTAACCATCAAATAGAAGGAGAAGACTATGGTGAGTAGGGGTGCTAAACGAGCCAGGGGCCTTTGGCTCGGCTCGTGAAAGCCTGAGCTTTTATGTCTAAAATTGATTGTTAGAACAAGGCTTGGACTTGTATAAAATCTCGTTTAATAAAAAGGCCTCAGGCTCCAATTTAAAAGCTCGGCCTTAGAGCCTCTCAGTCTAGCCTAATATATTAATTTTTATTTTTATTTTATATTTTTTATACTACTTGTGATAGCCATCTCTCTCTCTCCTCAATCCATTTCATCCCATTTTATTAATTAAATAGACTTTTTGAATGATTTTGTTTTATATTATGCTGTTTGGGTATACATTACATTTATGAATATTTATGGAATTACTAATGTTGTTGACTGTATATTTTGTTTGGATAAATTTTTGTTGTCTTATTTTGTTTTAAACAGGCTAAGAGGCTAAACCAGACTTTTATTTTTTGTAAATAAGACAGGCCACAGACTGAAATTATATTCATAATAGGTAACAAGCTTGGTCAGGCTGACACATTTAAACACAGGCTTAGCCTTTTAAGACCAAAGCTCGGCTCGGCTCGGCTCGACCCGTTAACACCCCTAATGGTGAGACATATGCACCAGTTGCAAAAATGACAAGTGTTAGAACTCTTTTGGCAGTTGCAGCAGCTAAGCAGTGGGAACTACATCAACTAGATGTGTATAATGCTTTTCTAAATGGAGAGCTTAGTGAAGAGGTGTATATGAAGTTTCCACCAGGATTTAGTAATGGAACCAAAGATCAAGTTTGCCGTTTGAAAAAGTCACTCTATGGTTTGAGACAATCCCCTAGAAACTGGTTTAGCAAATTGAGCTCATCGCTTATAAAATACGGGTTTCAACAATCTCATGTTGATTACACTTTGTTCACATTCCAAAGAGGTGATATTTTTCTTGCTGTCTTGGTTTATGTTGATGATATAGTTTTGGCAGGAAATAATACTCAAGCATGCGATCAAGTCAAGGAATATTTAAACAAGTGCTTTAAAATCAATGATTTAGGCAAGTTGAAATATTTTCTTGGGATTGAAATAGCCCGTAACAAAGAAGGAATATTTATGTGTCAGCGAAAATATGCTCTTGATATTTTACATGAAGCAGGTCTTAGTGGAAGCAAACCAGCTATGTCCCCTATTGAACAAAATCATCAACTTAGCCTTGCTGACGGACCAGACATTGACAATCCTGAGAGATATAGAAGATTGATTGGCAAATTGATTTATCTAAACATCACAACACCAAACTTGAGCTATGCTATTCTTGTTCTTTCTCAATTTATGCAGCATCCAAAGCAAATTCACTATGATGCTGTCCTACGAGTGTTAAGGTACGTGAAACAAAATTCTGGTCAAGGACTTTTATTGAAAACCGCATGTGATCTCCAAATCCATGCGTATTGCGATTCTGATTGGGCATCTTGTCCTCTCACAAGAAGATCTGTTACTGGATATTTTGTTATGTTGGGAACATCACCTATTTCATGGAGAACGAAGAAACAGGTCACAGTTGCACGATCTTCTGCTGAAGCTGAGTATAGAGCCATGGCAGCTGCTACAGCAGAGTTAGTTTGGTTAAAAGGATTTCTTGCTTCTCTTGGTGTAATTCATACAATACCCATGCATTTATTTTGTGATAATACAACAGCACTTCACATTGCTGCTAATCCCGTTTTTCATGAGCGGGCGAAACACATTGAGCTGGATTGCCATTTCGTTCGAGAACATATTCAGGCGAACACCATTGCTACTTCACATGTTCGATCTTCATCCCAACTGGCAGATCTTTTTACCAAAGCTTTGGGACAATCCGTGTTTCTTGCATTCCTTTCCAAGTTGGGCATTTCATTCTTACATGCTCCAACTTGAGGGGGAGTGTTGGAGATATGACCTTATCATGTAGATAGACATCTTATCATATAAGATATTCAGTTTGTTGTAATCCTAGTTGTTAGCTTGTAATCCTAGTTGTTAGTCTTGTTAGCAACATATTCGATTATTCTCAGTTATTTTAGGATAGTTCCAGCTTTTAGGTTTGTTAGGTTTGTTAATATTTTGCTGATTCTTATTGTATTCAATTCAACCTATTTAAAGGCAACTGATTGGAATATCAAATGAACCAATTAGTACCATATTTTATCTAAAAATAACACGGAAATCGATGTATGTATAGGAGAGAAAAGTACTCTCCTACAACGTAAGACTATATTTTCCCATGATTTTTATGCGTAAAATGTGTTCATATAATGTATGTTCAAAAGAGTGCACGAGTATATTCTCAAAAAGTTATTTCTCGATTTATCTAATGTAAGATTGTTTTTCTCTCCTCAAATTTATCTAATGTAAGGTTATCATTAAAGGACCTCACCTTAATGGTCAAAGAAACTAACACCTTTGTCAGGGACTAGCATAGATCTTTCATCCTTTCTTCGGTGTTTATTTAATTTTACTTTTCATTTTGGTATAAGTAATTTGGTATCCGACTGCCCATAGCAATGTTATTAAAATCGGTCTGTTGGTCGAGACATTGGGTCACTGGTTCAACCAGTGGGTCACTGGTTGAACCGCATGACCCGGTGATTATATATAAATCTATAATTTATATTTAAAAAATTATAAATATACTCAAATAATTAAAAAAATAATATAAATTCTAAATATTTTAATATAAAAAATAATAAATTATACATTATTATCCAATAAAGGATCAAATAAACACATAATGCTTGTTATATTGGTGTTTCAGATTCGTTAAACGACATCTCTAACTATCAGATCAAAATTCCATGCATAGTGCATAACTGAGATAATATTAAGATTGTAGGTATATAATTTATGTAAGTCAATAAGTAACAGATCTCTCAAATATGTCAAGTTTGATTTTTTTTTTTTGGAAATATTTTTTATTTTTGAAAATATTTTTTTTTAAAAACCCGGGCCGGGTCACCGGTTTTTCACCAAAACCGGCCGGGTCGCAACCGGGTCTGATACTTGACCGATCCAATGTGATAACCGGACTGATCAGATGACTGGTTCACTGGATTCTGGGTCGATCCGACCGGTCCGGTCCGGTTTTCACAACATTGACCCATAGGCGCGAGTTGGAAAGAATCACAATAGCAACAAATCTTTCTCTAACAAGTTTTAACATAACTACATATTTAGAATTTGAACTCAAAAATATTGATTAAGCTTAAACAACTCGTCCTCTGTTAGTCCAATGCTCGATAGGTTCATCTTTTATTATTCTCTTAGGGAGGCCCAAATCCTTGAGAGAACTCTTACTTTCTTGGTTTATGTGCGTAAAAGAGAAGCTCCCATTTTTAAAGAGAGAGATACGTATGTATCCTTAGCCTAAGGCTCAAAAATCTATTTGGGCCTTTGGTCCACTAAAAGTCCAGCAAAAACGTATACTTAATTTTCGTAAGTATATTGAACCAAAATATCCAAAAAACAAAGGTCAACAAAGACTATATAAAAGCCACAAATTTGTTATCTGATTCTGCAGCAGAAAGTAACGCTTGCAGGTTAAGGCAAAACATAGCACAAGCTCAACTATCAGTTATGTGTTCTTATTCATCAACTGCTCTCACCAATGTCTTTGAAACTGGCAAGTACACTACCGAGCTGCAAAGGGTCGATTCTGATTCATGCACACACGATGGTACTCTTTTGGATTCCTCTATCTCAATGTTACAATTAAGCTTTATCTCTTTTCTTTTTTTTCTTGCTATATGAGGCTTAGTTCACTGTGTGTATTTTTTCTATGTTCAGTTGTACCACCGAAATCACTCTTGATTGCCACTCCTCTTGAAGCTGGAGAATTCTCACTTCTGTTGTTCTTGCATGGCTATCTTCTTAACAATTCATTTTACTCTCAGCTTATGCAACACATTGCTTCTCATGGTTTCCTTGTCATTGCTCCTCAGGTTAGTTCACATTTGACACTTTACCGTGTATATATATACCATTTTTTTTTTTAAAGTAGATGTGTATATATATAATTAGGTATGTCAATCATGTAGCAAATGAACGAATCAGATTTGTTTACTATTTATTAGCAGACAATTAATGAATATATTAAATTGATTATTTTTACAAACAGCAAAAGTGTCGAAGAATCCAAGTGTGAGTGATTGAGTGAAAAAAATTCCACATTGATTAAGAATGGACTAAGTAAGGACTATATAAGTGAAATGATACATGCACCTAATGCATTAAGGTTTTTGGTTTGATTGTGGTGTTTTGAGTCCATTTAATGTTGCTGCTCACTTGGCCCATGGTTGGCGGTCTCTCCCGGCCATGAGCTCTCCGTGTACGGCCCAACAAAAAGAGCTTAGATTCGAATCTAGAGAAAATTTTTGGGCTTCGAGATGGATAATTATCATGCCTCTCAACTTGAGATTAGTCTCGTATATGTGCGGATCCATTTCCTTGCTTGGGTTGTGGGGATACCCGACAAACATGATTAACTCGCCTCAAAAGAGTAATTAGAGTCATGGAATAAAATTTTATCATTATTATCTTTGTGCCAATAAATCGTAATGATATAAGCTTAACTTATCTTAGTTTCATCATATGTTGATTTCAAAATATCAAAATCACATCAAATAATGACGCATAATTATTAGAATTCAATCTGATAGTAGTCCCACATATATTAGGCCATTATTTAACTTAGCTTTGTGAAAAAAGAAGAAGAAGAAAACCTTTTATAATATAAATTTTTTTAGAAGTTACTCTTTCTAACTCGTGAGGAAAATATCAAAATAACTTTTTTGAGGTTTTTGTTTTGAAAAATTATCTAACTATTATACATGCATTTATCTATGTTTTTAATTAATAAAGCAGTAACAAATGGCTGTTTCCGTTAGCTTGCTTGTTCCTCTGTTGTCATTGAATGGCATGTCTTCCCTGATACAAACACCCTTATTTTTCTGCATTTGCTTTACTTATATTTCTAAGCCCATTAGTCCAATACAGCACTTGAAATGG